CCATAGCCCTCAGGCGATGCTTCCTTCAGAGCTTAGAACAGACTTTCACATATTTCTTCAAGACTCCCATAAACCTCTCGAGGGGAACATGTTATGTAAGAACACAGTCCAAGAATACTAATCTCCTTCACCAAATGAACTAGGATGTGTGTCATGATATTAAAGAAGGATGGAGGAACACCAACTCAAAGTCGACAAGACATTGAACCACATCATTCTCAGAGAGTAGCTAGTTCCACCGGATTGATTGCCTTCGAGAAATTGCATTGAGGAATGCACATAGCTTCACGGTGGCTAGACGTATATGTGGAGGTAGAATTCTCTTAAAGCAACCGGAAGCAATTGCGTCATAAGCACGTGGCGGTCGTGGGACTTTAAGTTTAGGAATTTCTTATCCGCACATTTATTATACCCTTTATATTGGAGGAGAATCCCGATGGGACCTTGATGTCGCTTAGACATTCAAACATGTCGTCCCTCTCTTCTTTGCTAAAGCGTGTAGCTAGCGGGACTTAAGTAATGACGTCCATCATCCTGCTTCTCCGGATGAAGGTTGTCTCGTTCTTTCATGCCCTCGCAAGTCCCGGCGTGCTTCAAGTGAATCCTTTGGTTTCCCATACACACCCATGAATCCTAACAGTTCACACAAAGATTCTTTGTCGTGCATCACGTCGATTATTGCGGACCTCTAGGACTTGCCAATAGGGTAGCTCCCAAAAGATGGACTTCTTCTTCCACATGGGTGCGTGTCCCTTAGCATCTTTGGGAATAGATTCACTGCCTTGTCCCTTTCCAAATACTACTTTCACATCCTTGACCATTGCGAGTACATCTTCCCTGGTTCGGTTATGAGGCTTCTTCCGATGGTCTGGCTTACCTTTAAAATGCTTCCCTTTCTTTCTTACTTGGTGATTCAACGGAAGGAATCGACGATGGCCAAGGTACACGACCTTTCGACATCTTTTCAAATATATACTGTAAATGTCATCAAAACAATGTGTGCATGCATTATATCCTTTGTTTGTCTGACCTGAAAGATTACTTAAAGCAGGCCAATCATTGATTATTACGAACAACATTGCTCGTAGGTCAAAGTGTTTTTGTTTGTACTCATCCCAGACACGTACACCTGGTTTGTTCCATAAAACTAGAAGTTCTTCAACTAATGGCTTCAGATAGACATCAATATCGTTGCCAGGTTGCCTCGGACCTTGGATGAGGATCGGCATCATAATGAACTTCCGCTTCATGCATAACCATGGAGGAAGGTTGTAGATACATAGAGTAACTGGCCAAGTGCTATGACTAGTGCTCTGCTCTCCAAAAGGATTCATACCATCTGTACTTAAGGCGAACCTTAAGTTTCTAGCCTCATTTGCAAACTCTGGAAATTCCTTGTCTATCGCTCTCCACTGGGACCCATCAGCTGGGTGTCTCAGCATATTGTCTACCTTACGGTCTTCTTTATACCACCGCAACAACTTTGCATGGTCTTTATTTCTGAACAAACATTTTAAGCGTGGTATTATAGGAGCATACCACATAACCTTGGCGGTGGATTTTCTTTCTAGGACGTTGTTCACCCTCGACGTCACCAGATCATCATCGCTTTGATCTTATACCGCGATGCTTTACATACCGGACATTCATCCAAATTCTCGTATTCATTGCCATGGTAGAGGATGCACCATTAGGACATGTATGTATCTTCCGGATTTTTAATCCCAATGGGCGGATAACCTTTTTTGCTTCAGTGCGTAGTGGTGGGCAATTCATTTGGCTTCGGAAGCATCTTCTTTATGAGGTTCAATAAATTCCCAAATGCCTTGTCGGATATACCATTCTTTGCCTTCCAATCGTAGCAATTCCAAGTGTTGTACCTAGCTTTTTTTGCCCCTCTTCTACCGGGCGGGTATAGCAACTTCCTATGATCCTCAAGCATGCGCTCAACTTAACTTTCTCTTTTCACTTTCCAATTCTTGTTGTGCATCACGAATGGCATCGCCAAGAGCATCACCGAGATCATCTTCTACCGCTACCTCTTCTTCATCTCCCCCCCCATTGTAGTATCATCAAAGGCACCATATCGAGCAATAATGTCATCAATGTCTAAATCTTCTCCTTCACCTTCTTCCATCATTACCCCGCTTTCTCCATGCTTAGTCCAACATATATAGTTTGACATGAAACCTAACTTAAGCAAATGTGAATGAAGACTCATTGAGCTTGAATATTCCTTTAAATTCTTACATAGGGCACATGGACAAAGACATGAAACCATCCCGCTTATTTGCCTCGGCCACACCTAAGAAATAGTGCAAGCCCTCAATAAAGTCTTGGGAGCGGCGATCGGCATTGTACATCCAATGGCGTGACATAATCAGATACCGATAAATTATGAAAACCTTGAACATAATTTAGTATTTTATTACACAACATAAATGACACACACACGGTTGATTAATTAACTAAGCCTCGCTACAACGTAAACAATCCCAACTATCACTAAACAAACTAAAACTACAATGCACTTCAAGAACATAATTATTTCGTGATCGTGACGCAAACTAAAAATGATAAATCATTCTTCCATTGAATATCAATAAGCTTCTCCTGGCCGACTCACCGACTCATCAAAGCAGCAGCTACACCTCAAGCGCACCTAAATTCTGCACGTATGTAGCATAATCTTCCTCCCAAGACCAACCATCGCATCCATTGCCCTCCCACCAAATTAAAGCCAAAAAATATTTAGTCAAAATATTCAAGAAAAGCGAGTCAATTAGCCATAAATAAAAAATGCGTCAGAAACCCACATCGCGATCCGGGCACTTGTAGAAAACACGACCCTTGTTGGGTCCCTGTCTCTTGACTCGGTACTCCATCACAATCTTCTGCTTACACTTGCCGCAGATAATGAGAGAGAGTTATGGCCTCAGTCGTTTCGCAACCGAACGAGAGGCCGAGGATCCGGTACCAGTTGTCATCTACTTTCTATACTTATTTTTGCAAACTAGTGTAAATTTCATATTTTCTAAAATGATATATTTAACCTAAACTAGTACGGATTTCACATGTTTCAATAAATAACCATCCGTACTAGTTGACCTTGCTTACGTGATCATCTCGCGAGCATTTCTCCACCGGACGGCACCGTACTTGGCCAAGAAAGAGCTCCGATTCTACGAGAAAGGGAACACGGTCTTCCACGACCGTTGCCGCTCTCCCTCGTAGAATCAAAGCTTCTCCTTGACGTCCGTTACCGCTCGGCAGAGAACATGCTCGCCGAGATGAACACGGTCCGCAAGTTCAACTAGTACGGATTTTCTACAATTTTCTAACAATTTTCTAAGTTTTTCATTTCATGGAAAAATTAATTCTAAGATCACGTAAGCCACCGGGGACGAGAATGGCGCGTGCTCCAGCGAGGACGAGCGAGGCGTGATTTTGATGAACTAATTTAACTTTTGTTTATCCAAACATATATGCAAATCATCATGTGATTTTGAGCTAAAAATGACATATAAAATCATAATAAAGTCCAACATATAAAGTTACACATGCATCTACATCGTAAAATGAGATAAGCTACTGACAAAACATAAGAGGATTAAGTTTCTTACCTCCAAAATCGAAGAGCAACACCAATGGAGGGGGAGAGAGCAAGAACAACAGCAAGCTGAAGAACAGAGGCAGTGAGTTTGAATGCAATGGCTCGGGCTCGGGAAGGAAGAAATGAGCTGAATTATAGGCCGGGATAATTAGTCCCGGTTAGGGGTCCAAACCGGAACTAAAGATTAATCTTTATTCCTGGGGCATCACCCAAACCGGGACTAAAAGCTTTAGTCCCGGTTGGTATTACCAACCGGGACTAAAGGTAAATCTTTAGTCCCGGTTGGTAATACCAGCCGGGACTAAAGATCCCTGCCCCGCGGAGAACCGTTGGACAGGGACATTTAGTCCCGGTTGGTATTACCAACCAGGACTAAAGGGTCCTTTAGTTTCGGGGGCAAAAAATGTCGAGGCTAATGCTAAATTGGGATATCGTTCTAAAGTCTGTTCTCTACTAGTGTCTATTTCTCTATTACCAATACATACAATTACTGAAACAATAACTTCTCTGAGATATGTTGGATAAGTAATTGAATCTTTGTCTTGGAGTAAAAGGAGATTTGATATACAAACTAAAAGTAGCTCAGCTGGTTATGTCGTTCCTTGTGGTGAAACTTTCACACCCGAGTTTAAGTCCTCAACTTGATGGGGCGCTTGCATTTTCCTAGAGTTTATTCTAGGATTTAATGTTGCTATCCTTTCAGTTGTAGGCACGTGTCTGTGATAATGAGGTGCCTGTGGCGACCTCGTCAATCTCAAGATCTGTCAATCCAGCCTAGCCTTCTCGAGGTGCTCATAGGGTTAGAGTGTGTTAGGTGTGTGCATAATTTGTAGAGGTAATCATAGAACTTTGATATATGGCGATGAAATAGAACGTTAACGGAGCTTGGGTCCGTAATTAACAAACCAACTAAGAAAGGTATAGAGCACAAATCACTCATGGTGGAACAACTATTTCTAGTGACAATAAACGGTAATGAAGCCATTGACTTTAGAGTAAGACATGGGGGGTGACGAGTCCAAGCTGTGGCACAAAAACTGAACTATACACTTGCCACACAATTTGAGCGGATCACCTGCCAGTTCATGTGACTTTATCATTTGGAAAAAGATGTCCAAAGTAAATGTCAGTGTCATGGAGTGCAAGTCCTGGAATCTTGATCACAAGCTGGAAAGTTTACAGCTGAGGAAGTTTAGTGGGCTGTTACAAATCTGTGAATCGATAAACTATGTATCTGCTATCATGTTGCACTCGGACATCTGTAAGTTTTAGCATCACGATTGACGCAAGAACAGAACGGATCAATGCTGATTACTAAGAGTATGCGGACCATCAACACCTATCTAACTTCACAATGGCATGCATGTCGCGTTCCCCCTGTCGCTCGTCAGTGCTCCCAGAGCAGCAACGGCTCGTCCCAGGACAAATCATAGCCACAAGACGTCAACGGCGGCGGCAGCGCGAAGCCGAACTCGAGTAGAACGTCCGGCAGCTCGAAGAGCGCGAGATCAAGGATGTGCCCGTCCGCCAGCATCGAATGCTCAGACGGCGGCGCAGCCGGCTCTTCGCTCTGAGCACTGTCGTCGGCGTCGTTGCCGGAGGAGCTTGATGCGGCCGGCTCTTCACTCTCGTCATTGCGGGCGCCGTGGCTAGAATCGCTAGACGTGGGCGGCGCCACGCTCTCCCCAATCTCCATCGCGGCCGCGAGCGCCGCCGCGGCACGCACGTCCTCGGGGCCCGCCGATGCGGCGCGGGGCAGCTCGTGGGACATCTCCGGGAAGTTGAGGTGCGCGGCGCGGCCCTTGATGGCGAGCGCGGCGACGTCGTGCGCGCGCGCCGCCATCTCGGGGGTGTCGAAGGTGCCCAGCCAGATGCGGGACTTCTTGCGGGGCTCCCGGATCTCGGACACCCACTTGCCCCACGCGCGCATGCGCACGCCGCGGTACGTTGGGTGCTTCAGCTCCCGGCGCGGCCGCTTCCGGCTGCTCGAGCCGCCGGCGCCGCCGCCGCCGCCGCTGGTGTCGTCCAGAGACTGCGACGACGAAGCGACGGGGGAGTTGGGGCCGGTACCGCCGGAGCTGCTGCAGGTGGTGCAGGCATCGGACACCGGGGACAGTGCTCGCTCTTCTTCCATGGTGGGCGATGAACACTGTGCAAAGCTGGCAGTCACAAGCAAGCTCATGTGATGAGTGATGACTTTGCTACGAGGTCCGAGTGTGAGCGAGTGAGCTATATATTCGCAGCGAGGAATTAACAATTTCGCTTCGTCAAAGTGGCTACAGTATTTTCAGCATTCGCCAAAGAAATGTGATAGTCATGCGAGTTGCAAGGTGGTACTATTATATAATGATTTAGATTAGAGAAAGGCTAGACAGCGTATTAAGACGCGCTTTGCTCCAAGGTCATGTATTATTGCGGCATGCAGTGAGTTGCTAACTTGGTCAACCTGATGAACCTTCACACTGCTGGGTATTTGGGTGGCAATCTCAGCAGCAATGAACGTGATTAGATTCGAAGATGCAATTTCCAGCTAGCTCTGTTAGTACCAAGAACCATGGGATCTCGTTTTCACAAAAACTTGTCTACGCCAAGGTGGACAGGTACCTCGCCAGCTGGAAAGCTCTCCTCCTAAGCACAGCCGGCAGGGTGGTGTTGATCAACGCCGTGCTGGGCGGCCTACTGACGTACGCCATGAGCGCCATGGTGCTACCGCCGGGAGTCATCAAGACACTAGACGCGCGCCGGCGTGCATTCTTGTGTACGGGCACGGACACGGCCTCCAGCGCGCAGTGCCGCATTGCCTGGGAGAACGTCTGCAAGGACAAGGAATACGACGGGCTGGGGATCAAGCGCATTGACACCCAGAACACCTGCTTGCTGCTCAAGCTTCTTCATCGGCTTCACCATCCGAACGGGTCGGCCTAGGCCCTCTGGGCCACGAAGCACGTCAACCAGGCAGACCTGAGTGGCGCGCTCCACGGCACGCACCGGGGCGCTCCGTGACCTGCTCCCGGCGCGGCGTACCAGCACATCACTCGATCGGGGACGGGCGCAGCACGGACTTCTCTGCTGGCTGTCGGCCTGGACGAAAAATTCGTAACTTGCTAGCTCACTCGACTCGCTCGTTAGTGGCTCGACTCAAGCTCAGCTCGTTTGAATTTTTAATTAACGAGCCAGCTCGGTTAATTAATGAGCCAGCTCGAGCCAGCTCGCGAGCCGCTCACGAGCCAAAATGAGCTATGGTAATTCACTTGCCAGCAACTGCAATAGGTCCGTATATCCCTCGGCCTAGCCTAATATAGTAAAACCCTAACCAATACTACTTTAAGCGGTCCATATATCCCACTAACTGTGGCCCAACATGATTCAACACTACAACCGTAGACCGATAGACCCCACAGCCCCACCCGGTCACCCTACCGGCCTACCCCACGGAATCATGTACACATGAGATGAGTCCTCTGCCCTAAACGGATGATGATGGATCATCATCATGGATGATAGCATACTTTTCATTGTAAAATTCATATGTATTTTGTTTATTTCATTTTAAATATGCATGTGATGTGTTGTGCTTTGGCTCACGAGCCAAACGAGCTAGCTCGAGCTCACTAACGAGCCGAGCCGAGCCGAGCTAGTCTTCTGGCTCGTTTGTATAATGAGCCATAACGAGTTGAGCCAAAACGAGCCGAGCTATAACAAGCCGAGCCAAAACGAGCCGAGCTGGCTCGATATCCAGCCCTAGCTGGCTTGGCGATGCGCCGTTGGCCGATCGACTCCTGGCCCTCTACAGCCACTACGTCGCCCGTGCTACGGTAGTGCGTGACGTCGTGCGCGCGAACCTGCACGATCTGTTCCAGCGTCGGCTGACCCCCCAAGCATCGGTGGAGCTTGATCAGCTCTCAGAGATGCTCTCGGAGGTCACACTTGGCTTGGAACCGGACAAACGCTCCTGCTTCTTCAAGGATGGAGGGCACCGGCTGGTGTCGGGGCTCATCTACAAAGCCTTGAAGCGTGGTGACCACGACTACGCCTCCTACTCCTTCGTCTGGAAGAACTTCGCCCCGCCGCGCGTCAAGTTCTTCGGCTGGCTCCTCACGCAGAACGGGATTCACTGTTGTGAGGCTTTGGCCCGCAAAAACATCATCGACGATGCAACTTATGAAATCTACAAGGCAACAGAGGAATCGGCGGATCACATCTTCTCTGAATGTACATTCATCCAATCCTTCTGGACAAGCATAGGCTGGTACCCAGGCAACAACGGCAAGGTAAAGAAACTGTGGAACACAGCCTCCCCCACGCATCGCTAAGAAAGGCCTGCACCCCCTGTTCCTACTTCTATGCTAGGAAATTTGGAAGCACAGGAACAACGTCGTCTTCTGTGGGCTGCCACCCGACGTCGCCCGCCTCACCTCGGCGTGCAAGGAGACTATCAAGAACTGGAGCTGCCGCATCCCAAGAAAAGAAGAAGCTATGGCTAACAGTTGTAGATTAGCACTCTTTATGTAATCTAAACGCCCCCAAACATGTAACCCTATGTTGTAAACTATGCAAGGCTTTGCCTTTCACCAACCGGGTTCTCCCGGGTATCTGTGGAATGGGATGCAGGTGGGGATCCGTTCTAATCCCCCCGAAGTTGACCTCAAAAAAACAAAAACTTGTCTTATGAGCCGTACTTTTTCAATGGAGGAACATTATTTTTCTCTTACAACAAATCAGCGAACATTACTTTTCAGCTTGTGTTTTCAGCGAGGCGACCAGGGTCAAAAACATGAGATCTGACAGTTAACGTCCATATGTTGTTTCTTTTTAATTAATTAGAATTAGAAGTACATTTCTCATGACAGCTGTTTACTACTTCCTTTGTACACCTTCAGAGCCAAGCTAGCATAGCATCTAAAGTTTGTTCTAGATATGTTATCCTCGGAGATCCCAGGCGTGCCGCGCGCCCCATCCGCCGGCCCCCGGCTCGCCGCACCCCTTCCCACAGCATTCGGGCCATGCCCCAATGACTCTCTGAACATACCTCTGAAACACGAAACACTTGCAACATGGAACACTTGAATGCAACATACGTCTAAAGCAGATGAAACTTTTGGAACATACACTTACAACATGTGTGTGAAACATATGCCTGCACTGTAGCATTTCTGTTTCTAGATACATATATTTTCTACTTACATATACACTATATCTAGATATATAGTAAAAGCAAGAGTTAAATACACCAGTAGCCCTCAGACGTGTAAGGGTGTGTCACTTAGGTCCACAAACTTTAAAAATGCATTCTTGGATCCCTAAACTTGTTAAGTGGTGCATTACAAGTCCATGCAAGCCATGTGGATGTTTCTTGCTGATGTGGTAATACCAGTGTGGCATATTTTTCTAAATTTAAGCGCGCATCGTTCCTCTTCCCTCACGAATAGATCCTTTCTTCTTCTTGCTTCCCTCTTCTCTCATGGCGATTGCAGCCCGTGGACAGATGTGGCGTCAGACGGGCTGGGGTCGGCACGAGAGATGAGGGAAACAACAATTCATTGTGTGTGAAGAGTGAAGGAGAGGGATTAAATGTAAAAAACATATCATGTTGGCATGCCACATCAGAGATACATTCTCAAAGTTTATAAACCTAATTGACACACTCTTATAAGTTTGAAGGCTGCTAGTGCATTTAACTCTAAAAGCAATGTATTTAGAAAAGTCAAGCAATGTCACTAGGGATACTCTATGGTAGGAATAAGAGTGTCCATTCCAGCGCCAATTGACAAATTACACGCCGGTAGGGATAATAGAGTGTCCCTACACATGCCCTTATTGTTATAAAAAAATTACAGAATACATACACAAACATTTGTTTTGAACATGAATGCATGTCATGCACGTTAGTTGTTCATAGCATACAACTTCACTCTTCTGGCACTACTTATTGTTTGCCTAATCCAACTTTACAATGCAAGTAATGTGACAAACATCCATAAACAAATACTCAATGGTTTCATGTCCAGCCGAGACCATGGAGAAAGCGGACTGCTCAGTACGCCGCCGCAGGATGACCATCCGGTCGACGATAGGGACAACTCCGCTGCACGCCACCTCAAGCCCTCAAGAGCTTCACCAAGCGAGTGCTGAAGAAGCGCGGCTCTCCGCTAATTCACCAGCCTTCGAAGCAGCCGTCACCTGCTAAGCGAGCGCTTCCACGCAGAGCAAGCGGTTGACAGCTTAGAGCCTCTCTCGAGTTCCGGCTTCCAAGCGAGGTGAGGTCCTTGTTATGCAGGGGGCTACATCACAGCTCAATCAACGCCAAGCGTGTCAAGACAGAAGGTATATGAGAGGCTCTTCGAGGGTAAGCTGACGTTGTCCAACATAGAAGCATTGGATGAGCTCTTCGCAGACGCCAGGAAAGGCTCGAGCAAGTAGCACCGGAGACGCAAGGCCACCTCTTAGGTTGCGCTGTAGTGCTTTTATCTGTTGTATACCATTTGTGTAATATCGAAGTTTCAGTCTGCATGCTAGGATGGTCCAGCCTCAAGCTGTCGTTGTCGACTTCCTAGGGCACTCGGTGCGTCATTTGTATGGTTAAACTCTTCTTCTTAATACAATGACGCGTAAATCTTTTGCGTATTCGAGAAAAAAAAAAAAATCCATACACTCTACTTCATGCCATAGTGTCTCAAACATAAGTAGAGGAGATGTCAAAACTGAACTCTCTCTTCACTGAGTTGCAGTGGGAAGCTATATATACAACTCTACCCATCTAATTATAGTACGCAGACACGTCAGGTTGACATACTGCTACAGTAACTAGATGTGGTAGTAGGGCTGACTTTGACGCCTACCCCTGCTATGGCTATAGTGCGGTAGGGGAGCCTTTCGGCGTCTGCCCCTACCACGGCTACATTGCAGCAGCAGGGGAGCTCTTTCGACGCCTGTCCCTGCCGCGCGTACAGAGCGAGAGCAGCAGATTATTTTACCAGAAGATGATCGATCTACACCCATCGATATCGGACTGAATCTCTGATCAGCTATTTTAATTTTCCCCGTTCCGTCCTGAATGTGGTTACAAACTGGATTTGCTTTTCGCATCAATTATTAATCGCTTTTAGCATCAATTAGACAGACCCAATGCAAAGG